TGCATAATCACAAATCAACATCTAGGGGATTTCTAGATTTTTCAATTGGTATCAGAGCGGGTCGTTCTATTTTTTTTAAAAGTATTTGAGATTCGGTAAGAATTTGTGCATCTCTGTTGGTAGCTTTCCTATTTCTCCATGTAACTTCAATTGAATGAGGTGCTGGCAGTGAGAAAGTGGTTGCAGTGTAGGATTCCAAACAGTGTCCGCAATCTCTAGAAATAATGTTCGGAGGTTTCTTAATCTACCAATAGAGTCTACAGTGAACCCCTTGCTTTCTCCATCAAATACTAGGCAAAGCACGTGAAGATTGATTAAATCCCATGATGGATTAAATTCCATCCGGTCATCAACCACAATAAAGTTTAGAGTTTGAAGGTTTGTTAGGTTTTCTACTCGGAAAGGCCACTTGAAGCATCCAATTAAATGTCTCAACTGCTTTGCATTGCATATCTCATCTGGTAACATAATTGAGCCATAATATCCGGAAAATTCCAGGGTTTGTAGGGTTTGCAAGTTACCTATGGATGGTGGAATCTTGTTTTTTTTGGAGCCACTTATCCTAAAGTACCTCAAGTGAATCAACTTCTCTATTGCATCAAGTAAGCTTATATGCTCTGTTTCTTCTTGGGAATGATTGAAGCTAATTTCCTCAAGATCTAGCACCCTCAACAATCTCAATTTTTTGTACAGAAATTGTAACTCTCCTATTTCAGCGGATTCATTTTTTGAGTTGAAGAACAAAAGGGTTCTCAAATGCAAATTTGATGAGTGATCAAAGGAATCAAACCTTTTTAATCCACCGCTATGAGAAGCTAGTCTTCGATGTTTGCAGGGAGATAGTGCAGAATGAACATTTCCATCATTGATATGAAGGAATTTTAACTCCTTCGACTTTTCAATTGCAAAATCTCGAAGAAGATCATGCACTCGGCATCTTCCAATTCTCATCCAATTTCTTTTAGCTACTTGAATCAAATTTCTGTCAATCAGCTCATTTAGATGTTCTGCAGCTGTCTCCTCTAAAGTTTCTCCGTCTGCTGCTTGTATGAAACCTTCTGCCACCCATAACCGTATAAGTCTCTCTGCATCAATTTCAAAATCTTCAGGAAACAACCCCAAGTAAAGAAAGCACGACTTCAAGTGATGAGGCAAATCATTGAAACTTAAAGCCAATATTTGTGTAACACGAGTCAAGGCATGGCTTTCAAATTTTGTCTTGGGCCACTCATCGGGTTGTTTTCTTGACAATAGCCCACCCAAGACGACTATGGCCAGGGGTAAGCCATGGCATTTTCTGACCATATCTCTTGCCAATTCCTCCAAGCTTGGAGGGCAATGACTTGTTTTATCCTTGGCCCCATCATGGTTCGGAAACACTTTTTTACAAAACAATTCCCAACCTTCTTCTTCTTGTAGAAATGGAAGCTCATGGACAAATGTTCTATCACCAGAACTCTTGGCAACAAGTTTGATACGAGTGGTGATAATTACTCTACTTCCTTTCTTGTTGTCTGGGAGGGCTCTCCTCAAGCTTTCCCAAGCATCTGTATCCCATACATCGTCAATCACCACCAGGTATCGACTTTCTTTCAACAGCTCATGCAAACGGCCTTCCAAATCTTCTTGTCCCATCTTCTCCAACATCTCCAATTCACCTTTGGTGGTGGGCATCTTGACAGATTTTATTGTTCTTCGAAGAAGATCCTGGATGCTGTAATCCTTGGATACAGAAACCCAACCTTTACATTCAAATTTATCTCCAACACTGCTAGAGTTGTAAAGTTTTCGAGCTAAGGTCGTCTTACCCAAACCGCCCATGCCCGCAATCGAAATCACACGTTGATGGGGCGTTTCTTGGAGAAGTTCAGATGTCAGTAACTCAACATCCTTGGTGAAGCCCACGACATGTTGGTCGTCTTCATAAGGTGTTGTCCTTCGTAGTTGCTTGAATCTCTCATTCATGCTACTTGATCCCTCCCCAGCAGCTTCGATATTTCTAATCTTGAAAATTTCATGATTTCGATCGATTTCATCGAGTCTATTCTTCCATTCTTGAACCTCCTTTCCTATCCCATACTTGTTTGCTTGTTTGTAGATGCAAAAGTATTTTCTGAGGCAAGCCTTGAACCCTGTCCTTTTGGGTCCAACTTTGAGAATAAACTTGTCAATAATATCCTCGGCTTCGTAAGCAGCATCTCTAATATCGGACACCCATTTGCGTATCCTACTGTCTTGATCTTGTTTTTCTTCTGCATCTTTCAAGAAACACAACATGTATTCCAGTTTGTTTTTCAGAGAGTTGACTTCATCTCTCACTCCTCGCAAAAAATTAACTTGTTCGGTGAGAAGGTTACCAAGCCTTTGCGCTACGGAGGAGACAATAGCATCGACCATCCTAGGCAATTATGTTCCTCAAGACTCTCACTAATTTGAGAAGGCTAAGAGATGTAGGTGTATTGAATTTGGGTGATTGATTTTAGGAAGAAGGGAAATTCAAGAGATTAGTTACTTCAAACAAGAAAGAATGAAGACTTGTATAATAGAATATGATGTGTTGTTGCCTCTAAAAAGGAAGAGGAATTTAAGCAATACCTCATGGATGCTTTCAACTGAATAATGGCGTATAAGAGTTATACATAACTGTGTGATTGTTTAAGAACTCAATACTTTCCTTTCACAATGATAATTCGATTTCGAAAGGACACTTAAAGGGACTTGATATCCTTCAACTTGAAGGCTTTCATTTCATGGACATCAAAAACCCTTGCCCACCTATATACATACATAATTCTACTATACATAATTTTAAAAATGGGCATATTTTGTACTATCTATTTCATAACTATACCATAATGATTTGTAACAAAAAGAAGAAAAACAACTCTTACTTGTGGTCGATTTTGTCATTTAATTTGTTGAGTTATGTCAATTTAGTGAGAAATTATTCAATACTTCTAGAGTAAGTCTAGGCGGTACTCCAAATGCGTTGTTATTAGTATAAATTATGGAGGGAAACACTGTGGGACACACCTCTTAAAGGATGTGTACCATATGCACCTTATAACTAAAGAAAAAATTGTATAATTTCATGCTTTATGAGTTATAATTAAACAAAACATCAGATATAATTAAAAATCTTATGAGTCATAACTAAAATAATATCATAATTAAAGAAAAAAATTGATCATAAAAATAAGAAAATAATATAATTAGGTGTGCATATGATACACCCTTTTCAAGGGGGTACATATTAGATTTTGCCTATTATAAAGTCCACCACTTTTGTGTTGAAATTTTAAGAAACAAAATATTAAGTGACAATTTGTAAATAAAATGAAATATTATTCTAAAAATATTAAATAATCTTTTCAATGTAGTTCAATGGATAACATTCAATAACGACATTAAATGAGTCAGTAGTGTTGGGACAAAGGCTCGTGTTGTGGCTTATATTTTGGAGCATGTTTTTGATGATTCGAGTCGTCATATTTTGGAGTGTATCGAGTAGAATATATCTGTAAAAAATCAAGTTAATCAGATATCGTTAACCCTTTCATCCACTCACATTTGTATTCATTTTAACACTTTAAATCACAATGTCATTTATTTTTGAAGACACAAATGTGAGTAGATAAAAGGGTTAATGATATCTAATTAACTTGATTTTTTGTAGGTATGTTCTACTCGATGTACTCTAAAATATGAACGGTTCGGATCATTAAAAATGACACCGAAATAAGCCCATGAGACAGCACAACAGACACCCCAAATCCTAAATATGATACTAAGGAAAATTCTATGATATGTCCCACGTTTGTGACCTTGGTTATATCTTATTGTCGTGTTATTTATAATTTTTTGTGATACTGATTATTATACTATTTTAATTATGATTTAAAAAGTTTTTTTGTTATACCTCATTTTATATTTAGTTATGACTCATTATTATTATTTTTTACAATTATGAACTAAAAACATTTAATTATGACATTTACCATGACCCATAAATATGATATGAATTGAGGAAAATATTTAGAGTAATTAATTCTATATAAACAAAATTTATACAAAATAATATGTCTCAATTTTAGTCTTTCATTAGAAGTCAAAATGTCCACAAGTAGGGTGGATTAACTTTTAACTTGTCTGGAAACTTGACAATTTTTTTTTTTTTTTTTTTTAAATCATATTCACGTTATAGGAAATATATGTTGGAAAAATTGGGTTTTAGAGGCTTATTATGAACTAACTTTTAGCCCAAATGGTTATCCCACATTGACAATTTAAGAGAACTTATGTGTGTATATAAGTTTTAGGTGACAACACTTGGGTTGGGCCTTAAGGAGCACCCCAAGTTTGTAGAAGGGAGGAGTTAGTGACAAAGTAGACTTTGGCTCAAACCACCACACGCGCACGACCACCGCCATCCGTCTGGCCAAGCCAAGCGCGAGGGTGGGTCAGGTCAGTCCTAACATTAATTTTTTGAATAAAATTTATTTGAATTTTTTCAAATTCTTGCGGGAAAATTATTTGAATTTCTAAACGAAATTAATTTAAATTTTGTGCCAAATTTTTCTGTCCAAACAGTGTCCTTTTTTCAGTCCATTTTCCAGCAGGTTCAAACTGTTCTAAACAGTTTGAAAACTGCCCAGTAGTTTCCAACAGATCTAAAACTGTTTTGTATCTGTTCAGTTTGAAAATCACACCTATTCGGATCTGTCCAACTGTCACAAGTTTGCCTATAAATACATGCCATCTTCTAGCATTTTGGACATCCAGAAAATTAATCTTGCTTCCCATTTTTTCTCTTTTGCATTGTTATTCTTCGTATTAGTTTTAGGGAAAATTTTAGAGAGTATAGAACACAGATTCCAGTTTACTGTACAGATTGTTTGGAGTGCTACTACAATCTATATAGATCATTGTATCTTGAGAGATAAACGCTATTTATCCATAAGTACGGAAGCTGGGCAAATCTGTTTTAAGGACAGAGTGCCACACACTCGACTTGATCGTTTTATTGTTAAGTTGTTTTGGTAAATAAATTCTGTAAGTAATTTATTTTTATTTGTTTGATTTAGTTTCTTTACACAAAAGATTATTCCAACAATATATTTATTAAAACATACTCAGTTATTTCTAGAAGTTACATAAAAATTGTCCTCATATTAGTCCTATTTCTTTCATGAAGTGTAACATTTTGCATGGAACAAATACAAGACATACGGATTTAAATCATGGGAATGAACTTTTTCATTAAAAAATAAAAAAATAAATAAAGTTTTCCACTTACTACCTCTCTCACAAAATGTTTATCTTCACTCATTGATAAATTTTTTTTGATGTTATAGTACCAAGATGGAGTTTACAACTCATTCAAGAACCTTGGATCACCAAACTAACAAGAAAAGTATTCTTCGTTTCTGTTATTCTCTCTCCCTCTTTACCAAAAGCTTGCCTGAAATACCAGTTCATCCCTTGGACAAAAAAGGAAGATTCCAAAGTTAGCTTTGTCCTTTCGCGTTAAATTTTCTCAATAACCAAACAAAGAATATTACTTGTCAACCTGTCAAGAAACTTGAAATCATAAATGCATGATAATATTGGTTATCATAGGTATAGTGTAAATTTCTTTACGGGTTATGAACAATACACAACACTTAATTGGTTCATTTTGAACTTTTGGTGGGAATGAAATCTTATGGATTGTGAACAAATTTGCAATCATCTAATTTATATGTTGCAATCACAGATGTGGATAGTTGAGGCTTTAAATGCATTCTTGATTAAGGGAAAATGAGTTAACTAATCACTAATCGGTTAATGATTAGTGGTGGTGATAGTTTACTATTAAAAATATTAAAAATGTCCGTCCATGAAAAATGTATACTATTTGGGGCATTTTTTCATAAACCATACTCCTAGTACTTATGTTCTAATTACTCCAAACTAATTTGTTATGTTTCAATTAATTCTATATGTAGAAAAGTTTCAAAAACAACTCCCTATGTGGAGGCATGTATTCGGTATTCAAATGGTGTTGCGCATTGTTTGGCTAAGTGAGCAGTGGGAGGAAGTGAAGTTCCTCATTGTTTATAAATTTTAACCACAACGTGAATATCCCATTGTACATATGAATTACTTATATTCTTATTATTCACATTTATATTTTGTGATGTGAATCTTCTTATTGTCAACATGAACACGAGTAGTTCATACAATATGAAAGTGAAAACATAAATGTAAATGTTTGCGATGTCTATGTTGTGTAAAATATAAATGTGAATATTCACAACACAAGAATAATCGGACTTGTAAATACTTGAGATTTTTGAAAGTTAATTCTATTAACAATACAAAGGTGTGTACTATTAATAGAATCTGCCATTTTTCTTGCAAACTTTATTGTGCAATCGTAGTTTGTCAGCACATCAATCATGAACATTTCATACTGTGAAATTTAATTATTTTTATTTTATATAATTATATATTCAAGTGAAATCTTATATGATAAATCTCATTAAATAAGTTTCAAAAATATAAATTTCATCAAAAATAAATATGTACAACAAAAGTTATAAATTTTAAAGTTTAATATACAAAAAATTAAAAATAATCTAAATTAGCTCAACATATTAGGTTGCTAAGAGTTAATAAAATATCTATAAGAGTAAAATTGTTCATAAAAGACCTAAAATATAATAATTAAGATTTGTTAGATCAAATCTGCAAAAGAAGAGGACCAATTAAAATACAAGAACATTTCATGAACTAATTGAAATACAAATATATAAAAAGAGATCTTCTAATAAATCCCTCACTTTCTATTCTAACATACCAAATGCTAAAAAATTCACAACATTTTTTAGAAAACATTTTTTTTGTTAAAACAAATGGATTGTAAATCTATCTTGAAATTCTTGAGAGCTTCTTGGCTTGAAAGCCAGCTGGTACGTTGTGATGGATTTTCCTTTGAACATCCTACAATTCTAAGGTAGCATATTCAAATTCCTCATTGACAAATCCAAAAAAAAAAAACACTAACATTAAAATATTAATGTGTTCCCTAAAATTTAAAATCGTACATTTAGATCCCTATGAAAATAAAACAAATTTGATAGTTGGTGTTCTCTTACTTTAGATAATAGAGCATAGCATTGTAGTATAGATGAAAGTCAAGATATTTAATTAATAAAAATAGATTTGCTTCAAGCAACCAACAATGCTAGGCTACACAAAAAAATTCACAAAAACCGTCCTGAAGTCATGCCAGTTGACCCATCCTAATTTTCATTGAGGCAGTCAACTCGTACTTTCGGAAACGTTTGAAATAGGTGAAACTAATACTAAGGAGAAAGAAATTTGAAATTCTTTTGGGCAAATGCAACGATAAAATTGCAAACATGGGAAATTGCCAAAAAAACAAAAATCACCTCACTAGTATATATCTACAACATCAATTTCTACCCGTGTAAAAACTTCATCAGCAAACCTCTAAATTTCATTACCGGACTGAATACAGCACACGTGTCAGCCATTCATTGGTATTGATCTTCCGGATTGAGTATGTTTTCCTTGAAGCTCTTTGTCAACCAAATTGCAGTTTCTCTAGGAGAAACCTTCCCTGGTCCAAACGGCTTCAACAACACCCCCAGTTCATTGTACCTTTTGTCTTGCAGCAGTCTTGCACTAAATTCAAGCAACCCTTCCAAAGCTTCAGCTCGCTGCTGGTATGAGGACATGTCAAATGGACGACGCTGCAAGTCTGACAACGTCCGGCTCGTTGCCCCAGCTGTCGCATTTTGGTCTGAGCACTCACTTCCATCCTCTCCACCCAACTTAATTTTGCCAAAACTTAATCGGCCAAAGTTTCTTTCTAACACCTGCACCGTACATTTGTCCTTCATGATTGATTGATCGCCTTGTGGCGAGGTGGAGGAACCTTGTGCAGAGGTTGATGAAATTCTTCAGATGGGAATGACGGAGTCCTCATATGAGGATAATGGAAATTCAACCATCCCGTCAATTCTCGAATTGACAGAAACATCTGGAGACTTTATGCAGTCAAGGATACCGACACAGGGATTGGATCTCATCGGCAATGGCAAAGATGCTCTGCGATTTGCATGAACGGATTTTTTTTCTGGTTTTTGCGAAGCTGGAAACTGCTAGTGCAAGCATATAAGATCTAAGAATGCAACCTTTAAAAAATGGAGAAATTGCAGTTTCAAAGCTCCAAAATTGTAAAATAAGCCCACAAATAAGCTGCTGCTTTAATAAAATATTCATATATATAATATATAATAAATATATATTTGTGTCCCTCATGTATCATGTCCAACCAATTTTAAAAATTTTGCATGTCAGTGTGTATGTGTCGTGCCGTGTGTATCTAATATCTATGCTTCTTAGTTTAAAGCAAAAGATATCATTTATCATCGTATGTCAGTGACTCATCAATTTACTTACAATTAAGTCTAACCTACTACAAGTTTCGAATCAATTTAGTTTACAATTTGTTTAGTTAACGAAGTTCAATTTTTCATTACAAGTACCAATTACAGTACACCAATCCAATAGAAAGCTAGACATATTCAAGGAAAATTATTTCCTACCTTCAATATCATATCCTTCTGTAAACTCAGTTGAAATGAACAAGCATTTTCATGCAAATTGTTATGCGTAGCCTTTATCTTTATTTTTTTATTTTTTCTTTATCGGATCTTGCTTTCTAGACATACAAGATTTCCATAGTTGTGCAAGAGCTTAACCCAGCCCTAACAAAAAGAGTAAAGTGTGTCAATAAAGATAACACCTTGGCTATTCATAGGAACTAGAAATGTACTAACATGTACACACGCACAAAGACGCACATGCATGTATTAATAAGTACTAGAAATGTCTCCACACACTACATGTGTGCATTTTACTACACTTATTTATCTTCACTTCCCCCACAAAAAAAAAAAATCCCTCATTCTGAACTTACTATTTAAATTCTTCTAAAACTAAAATGCTATGATTTTACCAACAATATAGCGAGAGACTTTGTAACCGAATCGATAGTTAGAACTATTCCCATCATGAATTAATTTGGCTTTTTCAAAAGACATGTTACTGTTTTACCCTTATTATCAAAGAGAGAAGAAAGAACCTGTTAGTTTTATGGGTAGTTTAGGCATGTAAAAAGTGTGACAAAGCTTCAAAAGTTGTTCATGTTGTGCCAAAGTGAGTTGTGTGCTTTATATAATAAAATAGATAAAATTGATTAGTTTATTGTAACTTACTGATACTCGGTTCTTTGAAAGTTCTGCTCGCTTCTTAGGAGTGGGAGAATCTTTTGTCGGAGTCAATCTTGGAGTCATGGCAAAACTTGAAGCCTTTGAAATAATTTTTCTACCAAAGTCCGATTCTTCATGAATGCATTCAACAGACAATTCGGCTATCTTTTTATTCAAATAACTTGGAGTGCTTTGATTTCTCTGAGAAAAAGAGGAATCTCGCTCAGGTCCAGTAATATTTGGATTCAAGGTCCTGTTATTGCCGAATGAATGCCATTTTTCTTTGTACGTGGAAACAGGAATATCTTCTGGCTCCACAAATCTAGTTTTCTTTATGTAGTCAGCTTGAGGCCAATGGGTTGGTAAGCTGTTGCGCCTGGGGCTATTAAGTTTGAGATGAACCTTCAGAACATAAGGCTGGAGGTGTTGGTGCCTTAGAAGCTCTGCTGCCTGCAAACAAACACAATTAAAGTCTCAAAAAATAGACAAACCCAAAACAAATAAAGGAAAAACACTAGAAGGCGGTCAACCTTCTTTCAGAGCTTCTGGACACTTCCAATTTGCTATCCAAATCGTGCCATGTGATTTACTTATTTAAGTACTCTGAAATTACTTTCTTGGTTTTGAGAGCCAAAGTAAAAAGAACTTTGCTTTTGAGACCACAAAGGCCCTTTAGTATAGTATTTGGATAGCTTTTTAAAAAAACAATAGATTTTGTAAAGAGAATAGCTCCACCCAACTTAATTTTGCCAAAGCTTAATCGGCCAAAGTTTCTTTCTAACACCTGCACCGTACATTTGTCCTTCATGATTGATTGATCACCTTGTGGCGAGGTGGAGGAACCTTGTGCAGAGGTTGATGAAATTCTTCGGATGGGAATGACGGAGTCTTCGTATGAGGCTAATGGAAATTCAACCATCCTGTCAATTCGAGGAGAATTGACAGAAACATCTGGAGACTTTATGCAGTCAAGGATACCGACACAGGGATTGGATCTCATCGGCAATGGCAAAGATGCTCTGCGATTTGCATGAACGGATTTTTTTTCTGGTTTTTGCGAAGCTGGAAACTGCTAGTGCAAGCATATAAGATCTAAGAATGCAACCTTTAAAAAATGGAGAAATTGCAGTTTCAAAGCTCCAAAATTGTAAAATAAGCCCACAAATAAGCTGTTGCTTTAATAAAATGCTATGATTTTACCAACAATAGAGCGAGAGACTTTGTAACCAAATCGATAGTTAGAACTATTCCCATCATGGATTAAGTGGGCTTTTTCAAAAGACATGTTACTGTTTTACCCTTATTATCAAAGAGAGAAGAAAGAACCTGTTAGTTTTATGGGTAGTTTAGGCATGTAAAAAGTGTGACAAAGCTTCAAAAGTTGTTCATGTTGTGCCAAAGTGAGTTGTGTGCTTTATATAATAAAATAGATAAAATTGATTAGTTTAATGTAACTTACTGATACTCGGTTCTT